TTGCTGCACCAATGGTCTTGCTTTGCCTCCATGATACCAAGCATACCACATGCAGTGGTGGACCTGAAGGTAGAACTGGGAGAAACTGGGAGAAACTGGGAGAATAGCTGGGCCTGGCAGGCAACAAAAGGCTTGCAGCAGCCTGAGTGACCAGACCCAGCCTGGGCTGGAGTTTTATGCTCAAGAGAAGCATGGGCCCAAGACAAGGAAGGTCTCTGGAGCTACAAGAATGGCACTGAGCTAACACAGAAGAAGATGCAGGATAAGACCCCAAAGGGTAAAACTCAAAGATGTGCAATGCTGAGAAAAGGTGAGAGAAAAGTACTGACTATAAAAGGGCTTGGAGCCCCCAGCATAGATGCAGTCTCCTGTTTGACTTCCCTTGCATTCAGAAAAATGGAGCTTTGTACATTTTATGCAGGAAATTGAAGTTGTGTCAGGGAAACATCTGACTTCATCATCAGTTCCTTTTAATAGGAGCATCCTTAAACCGGCTCAGTGCTCAGATTGAAAGCAGTAATTCCAGCAATCTAATAGAAAGAAAACAGACAGTGCATAGAGTAGAAGTGGGAAATTTATTATGTTAACACACAATAAAAATAAAATGATCAGTGTGAAAAAGAAAAAAAAAAAAAAAAGAAGAAGAAAAAAGAAAAAAAGACTTGGATTTCAATCCTCAGGGCTGACTGCACAGTTTCCTATAGTTTGACTATTCAAGAACTTTCTGGTCATTCCCAATTTGTTACTATCCATGCTTGTCTCGTCCCTGGTATGGTCATTACATTTATTTTTATAGCTGCTTTTATCCAAAGCATATGTTTTCAATGGCCTTCATTCCTTATCTTCAGTGCTTTCAATTACATAATGCAGCACGGTACCTGGCAATTCCAAAGCAAATGTATCTTGGATGATAGATTACAAATGAAAAATGAACGCTCTGAGACATCTTAATAGCTTATTTCCACCCATGCTTCCTGCCAATGTGCCTCTGTGTCTCACATATGTATCCAGATAGATCAAAACATCGCTATATTCAGTATATTCACCAGTCTGTATATTCACTGCATTCCTTTTTAGTTTCAGTGCTGATAGGCAGGAAATCATCAAAAATGCTGAAGTTCTTCATTGAACAGCAAAACTTAAATGGCAGTAATTGAAAACCACCTTACATAGACTAGAAAGTATTTGATTTTAATCAGTTAGGAAGGAAATGGTAAAACAAATGAACATAGTCTGAGTCTGATCTTCAGAAAGGACCTCATGGGAAAGGGGAGAGCGCTCTGCTTCTCAAAGGTTAACAGCCTTACAGTGTCCTTTCTGGGAACCCGGTGCCTGATTTGCGAGCTGGTTGCTTCCTGCCTTCCTCTCGTCCACGCAGAAGAAGAAAACAGGGCTTCTGCAGCTTTGAAGCCAGTGGAAGTTTTGCTGTTAAATTAAACATGGGAAGGACTTGGGTAGTCACTTGTGTTAAGTGAGGGAATAAGCAAGTACCAAAGGCACCACTGTCTGGCTTCACTGATACACAAATATCACAAACAGAGGCCAGAGCAGACCAAAGAGAGAAAAACAACCCCGTCTGTGCTACAGGAATGTGCCAGCTGCTCCAGGGAAGAAGTGCAGAAACAGTGACACTTGTGATGTCCCTATACCCGCTCTGTGCTCCAGCACTTCCAGGTTAAATTCTAGGCAACCAGAATATTTCTTCTAAGTCATCGACAAGTTACACACTCCATATGGGTCTATACATGGCTCGAGCCATGTGCATTAACATTTGTGATGCTGAATCTGCAGGCTTTATTGATCATCTCTAGTTTGCCTCTGATGTGCTTTAAGCCTCTGAAGCTCAGTGTAAGGGAGCTAAAAGAGAATGTTTGTAAAGAAAACCAGGGAGCCACTGCTCTCCCGTTCCCTGTGCTCGTGTCTGGTGCTGGTGGCTGCAATGCACAATCCTGGAGAAGGATAAGCCCATGGTCTTCATTTCCTGGGTGATTTAAATCATTTGGGCAGATAAGAACACAGTGTGCTTGTGCTTCATGTTGTACAGGGTTAATGCATACACGAGCCAAGGGTCTTCTCAGAAATGCTCATTAGTAGCTGGTGATTTCTTTTCTGTTAGGGCTTTGACTGCTTCCAAGATCCATGTACTTAATACTTTCAGATGTTTTAAATCCTGCTCTGGAATTCCCAGGCTGATAGTAAATAGACTAAATGACAAGTGTTGTTTTTTCTCATTTTCTTTCAGGAATCTGTCTTTGATTTGGTATTGCTTACTCCTTATTTCATACTGAAAGACTGAGACATAATGACGGATAGACGATTATAATGAGACTTGGGAACTCACTTCTGATCTCTGTCAAACCCAGACCTGTCTCATGATGTTAGGCAAGATTTTGGGAATGTTCTGGCAAAGTTTCATGAAATATCAGGTCTCAAGGTATCTTTGTAAGTAATCAGAAATACACAGTTCATTTTGGGATGCTTTGATACCAAGCTCACAGGTGGTTGTTATTATTCTAGATTTCAGAGTGCAATCACTGTAAATAAAATCTCAAAACCTCCAGCCAAATAAAGGCTCTACTTTCATTCCACTCCTTCCAGGTTTTCTTGAAATCTTAGATTAGGTTTCGATTAGACCGCTCCATAACGTAACTGCAGAAAACAAAGGAATAAAGCTCAAGAGTAATTTGCTTTGGGCACATCTTTTCTTGGGCTTGGACAAGTGTTTCTCATGACTGCAACACAGTCTTGGGCCGAAAGCCCATCTTTTGAGATGAGAACAAAACAACTTCTTAACCTTGTAGCGGCTGCAGTGACCCCTTCATCTTATTTGAGCCCTGACCAAGTGCAAGCGATCTGCTCTCACTGGTGCCAGGCCTGGAACACTGAAATGGGGCAGGCTTGGACTTTCCCCCCCTAACAAATGTCACAGTCAAGCTGAGTGTAAGTTTAGCAGGAAAGGAAAGATAGTAATAATCAAATTTAGAGCCTAAAATGTGTGTTAATTTATCCCTGGTTTGGCTTGTTCCTAAAGGTTCCTGCTGCTGGGGTTTCCAGCTGCCTGGTGATGTTGAAACATGTCCAGGGTGCTTCCTCTGTCTCGTGGCTGTTGTCCAGCCAAACAGCTGGAACCTGATTGCTCTTTCTTCCCGGTTTCCCTTGTGACAGTGCTGACAGTGAATGTCTCATTTAAATCTCATTGCAGCAAAGTGACTCAAACATTACCGGTGCATTCTTGCTCCTGGATGCACTTTAAATAAGATCAGCGTGGCTCCCCAGATAGTACCTAGGATTCATCTGGGATTCCAAGCCAGAGCATTAAAATACTGAAAGGAAAACAGAGTGGAACCAGCTCCCCCTCAGGAAAGAATAAACCTGCATCCATTCCTCTGTCTTGTGACTGACCCAGGTCTCAGGTCAAGAGAGGAAAGCCTCCAGGGGTGTTCCCAGCAGACAATCGACCATTTTTTTTTGGAAAAGCTTGTTCCCCTTCCCCAGTCTCCAAACAGGCCAGCCGGGGTTTTTCTTCCCACCCCATGTCCTCTCAGCTTTTGCTCCTGGCCTTGCTTTGGAGGAGATGGTGTTTTCTCACATACATCCTCGGTTGAGAAGAAAATATTTCACCCTTTGTTTTCACTCTTTCCATTCCCAATCACAACAGTTGGGGTTTATGTTGATTACTGAATTATACTAGTTCTGGATAAATCTGGATCAGTTTGCCATGCTGCACAGCACACGCTGTTTCGCTTTGCCTATCTCAGAGTTCTTGCCCCTGTGTAAACTACATCTCTTCCCTGAATCTGTAAGAGCTTGTTGGACTGTATCATCTTCATATTTCCTGTGTACGAGCCCTCGGCCTGAGACTTTTCTTGTCACAGCATTACAAAATATTTTGAGCTAGGTGCTGTTACACACAAAACCATGGGATCTAGCTCATATTTTGATCAGTATCTTGACCAACTGTTTTGACTGCTAAGCTGTGGAAGAGGTAAGGATACTCGTAAGGGAGAGCCTTAACTTCTCGAGCTGGTCATTTCCCTTGCTCTGATCCAACACAGCCTGAGCTGCTGCAGCCTTTCTGTGGCCAGGACATTGCACTGCAGAGCACACAGGGCTGGGCACCCGTTATGCCTCTCTCCGTAACTGAACAACTGAACCAAACTGCGCCTGTAGCCAATACACAGTAGAGAATTTATTGCCTGTCTCTGGAATTAGGCAATTCTGTTAATTGTCTTCTTTTTCCAGGACTCTATCATTGTCTTCCCAAACCATTAGTGGCACCAGCATGAGCTGCCTGGAAGAAAATCTAAAATTGAACAGAAAGTGAATCAAAGCCAAGGACAGACACCTCTCAAAGACAATTGCACTCAGCTATCCTGGGGAGCCCTGATAAATCCCTTTCCTGCTTCCACAGCTCTTCCCTCATTGTAGCTTTGGTCTGAGGAACCTTTACTAAGCAGCAAGACATTCCTAAACAACACCAGTGACCAGATGAAAGACTTCTTTCCTCTTTTGTGATTTACTTTGTCACTGGTTTCTAGACATACCAAATGTACTAGTGCAAATATTTTCTAAGTACCGAAATGATTGTGGTGGCTCTGGCTTTCCCACCTATAAAGCCCACTAAAGAGCCCACTAGGACATCAGTGAGACATAAAAAAAGAAACTGCACAGCCTGTTCTATTATTTTTTCCCTTTGTAGCCTGGCTGTTAATCCCTGTATCATTTTCCACAATGGACACATGGTCTGGAGTTGGACACATTTTAGGTGAACACAATGGGAGTCAATAATTGTGGGTTGTTTTTGACACAGAGTCCCTAGACCAGCAAGTCACCCCATATTTTTAATACACTAAATTTGTGACACTCAGCATACACGTTGTGTCTTATTTATATGTCATTTATCCATACTTACTTGATATCTGCGGTATCATGAACACATTCAGAAGAATTTTAGTTCTGATTCAATGCCTCTTTGATCAGAAAAAAATACTAACTTCCACGTGCAGCATTTATTGATTCTTTAAATAAAATGATTCGAGCACAGTTGTGATGCCACAAGAACACAGTGCTAGAGCACAGTACACATTTTGGGAAAAAATCTGGTAGCTGGGGGTGAAAAGTCCTCTGGTAGTTTTGGGACACCATCCAGTATTTTCAGATTTGGCAAACTGAAGAATACACTTAAAAAGAGACAAAAGAAAAATAGAAATTGAGAGAAGTATTCTTTGGAGATGTTGAGAACAAAACAGACACTGACAAAAAAAAACAAAAACGGGATACAAAGATAACCAAAATATATTTGTGTTGTTGGAAATCTTGATTTGTTATTTGTTGCAGAATTGATGCGGTAAAGAATTAATTAAATTTTCTCAGTTTTCATTCTGTTGCCCGGTTTTTATATCCTCAAACTCATGAAAGCACTCCAGGTGCCTACATTTTGAACAGAGTACAACCAAACCAGTTGTCTAATGCAAAAGAGAGGGCACAGGGTTAGCCTAGACTGAAATTCCTGGGCTGCTGAAAATCAAAGATTCAGACTGCAAGAAGCTCAGCTCAACTTTTATCCTTCTGTGAGAGAGAAACAGGGCTCTCTGCAAAGCACCTCCATTTCTCACAAAGAAAATAAGTCCTCCCTTTTTTGTAGGCATGCTGCCAAACTGAAATGAATGGCTCTAGCTCCTGTCATACTGCTCCTTTCAAACAGCTTATCAGTATCTCTAACCTTGGTCATTACGACTGCTGTTTGCTTCAGAAGAGGCGTTTGATGGAATCGCAGCCCCCTACAAGCATTACACAGGGTCCTAACCCACATGCTGTGGCGTTTGCTTCTGCACCTTCTGAGGTGAGCAAGGACTTCAGGGCTCAACCTCGGCATGTCAGGGCTTTATCTAGGCTTGAAAATGATTCACTTTGTCTTCCAACACTGGCAGTAAAAGCAATACCAGAGAGATATATTTAATTGCTTTAAAAGTTGGTAGGATTAAGGGCATAAAGATAATTAATAGTTGTTAAAAAGCGCTTTTCAGCTTTTCTTCTCCTGGACCTTTTGATATGTAAATAAGATGTGAAATCCATTATATTAGATTTACTGTGTAACTTTCCCTTTGATATCTGCCTATCCATCTTTAAAAAGCACAAGCATTACCATCACACTGGTAAAGGGCTGCCTACTAGACTGAAGTAAAAGCCAACTGGAAAGTCAGAAAGGTTTTCATTTAACAAGTTCCTTCTCTTTCTTTCTCTCCTGGGAAGAAAGGACTTCTCAGACACATGCAGTAAGGTTTAGCTCAGAAATAACCTGCTGTAGATGACTGACTAGATTCTGTGTTTGTTATTGGGAAAAACACCCAACCATGTAGATTTCAGGAGTTCGGAAGGAACACTCTTCATTCCCCATTTTGACCTATGTCCAATTTTTTTCCTGGCAACAGGGTTTTGGAGTCAACATTAATTGGGTAAAATGGAATAGGGATGTGAGTGTCAAAATGTGCACAAGATTTAGAATAAATTATCTTGCCCTGAATTCTCTACTCTGTCATGGATTTGAGCTTTCATTTCTAGTATCTGAGCTACATGGCATTGCAGGCAACCTGTACATACGCCAGGTGGAGGACTCAACCCAGTGCTGTCACAGAGAGAAAGCACCAAATCCAGAAAAATCAACTGAAGGTAACTGAAATGTCTCTTGCTTTAGCTCCCATCTTTCAACACATCCTTCTCATTCCACCTCTGACATCTAATGCAATTTAGACTCCTTTCGGAATACATGAGTGATGCAATGAGACAGAAGAGAGTTTGAGTAATAGGTAGTTTCTATTAATAAAAGAGAATCTAATTTATCTGCCCTACTCGCTGTCTCTAAACGTGATCCATGGACTTAGTTCAGTTCATGAACTGCCATTCACATGATTAGAAAGCCTCCCAGGAAGTTTCTGAATCCTTTGTGGGTATTCTCAGATAATGGCTTGCAAGCCCACCTTCCTGAAGCACCTGTGATGACTGGGAATATGGGAAAATAAAGAGATTATTTGGGAGAGTTTGTATGTCACAGAATCACAGAATGCTCAGGATGGAAGGGACCTCTGGAGGTCATCTGGTCCGAACTCTTCTCCTGTCATTGGGCACCACATTTGGGATCCTGGTTGAGATCCTATTCCTTTTGTGCACTCTCACAAATATTTCTTTGTGTTAACCCACTTTTTTGGCCATGGGATGGTAAGACTTACTGTTGCCTGTAGCTTTCTTGAAACTCACAGGGATTCCTCTTGAGTATAAGGGATTCGAGTGGAGTGTGTCTCAAGTCTGATATTCCACTTAGTGTCATAATGTTATTTTCAGCCAGTGACAAGTGCTGAATCTGAGGTATTTTTGGCAGCTGTTTGAAGGATGTAAAGTAGTTTTTATTGACATTTAGTTCTCTGCATCTGTAAAGTACAAAGCACATGACATCACTGACCACGTTCATAATAGTACATACCTGTAAGCCAAGCATGGCATCTTAGAGTTTCCAATGAGAGGTACAACAATTTGATTCGTAGGGACCTGTTTTCACACTTTTTTATGTATGTGTTATTTTTGCTAACCAAGGTCTGCAAGATAATATCCTTATACTCTGTACTCTCAGCTTTCTTTATATTGTACAATAGATACATCATTACTCCTGTTCCCTGTATTAGAGCTTTGGATTTACCTAGCCACAAGACATCAGAATAGCAATAGACCCACTGTAAAAATATAGTTGTAATGGTTGCACCTGGCCTCTCTGCTCGGGTCATGTTCAACCATCTCTTTGTACACATTCTTTCAGTGTTTAACAAGTTCCCTTTTAGGAAATATATCACTGAACTTGAGAAGACTCATGAATTATCCACCAGGAATAAAGGGGACGTCATCTTACCTCCTTACTGAATATTTTCAACTCGGGTATAACATGAACTCAGAATAGAAATATACTGATGGATTCTCAATATAACAACTCCCAAAATATCATATTTTGGCAGTTTGCAAGAGTCTGCTTCAGCCATTACTTACGTAAATAACAGTTTTTATTTCTATGATATCAAAAATATATATATAAGCAGAACATTTTGTCTACCTTGGCAACCGTATGGCACTTAGGTCTGTCAAGGAATTGTCCACCAACCACAGTTTTTCCACACGAATTAATCTTTGGAGAATCCTCCTGAAGTTTTCTACCTGGTAAAGATCACCCAGGTCCTGAAATGAGAGGTTCAGCTCCTGGGGAGAGAAAAGTAATAGAAATTACTTACATTTTTTTCTTGCTTTCTAGTAACTACATTATTAAATCTTTTCAATGTCAGAATTAGTTAAAAGGTGAATCGATTTTATTATGCTACTCTTCCACCGATTAAAAACAAATGGTGGTGCCAAATTTGCCTTTGAATCATAGTGATGCACTGCACAGTGCAATGAAAGTAAGGGTCACCTAAAGTGGTAATGATACAAAAAGCTGGAGTTTTGCCAATCAGATAGCAGTTATCTGTGTGGGGCCGCAGATGGGAGTGTTTCCTGAACTCCAGCTCTCTCTATCGTCATCTGATCCACTGGTCTCCTTCCTCCACCCACTCTCCAACAGTCTTTTCCATAACTTCCCATTTTCTTTGCTTCATTATTTTGTATTTTCTCCCACGTTGTTCTTTGATGCCAGAAAACATCTCTCAAGCATGTGAACTTTTCTTCCAGCCTCCTCCTTCCTCTTTGATTGGGGATGCCTGTGTGTGCTGGGTGGACAAAGCAGGACTAAGTGATCATGGCTTAAAGGTAAGTTCCTACATGGCTTCCTCCTTGATCTTGGAGGTCATCACTTATTCCTGGTGAGAACCTGCAATGATGTGGTACCTCCAGCCAAAAGAATTGCATAAGCTGGTATGAGGACAGAGGAGGAGAACTGAAATTGAACTACACCATTCTCTAACATTTGCTTATCATCATTTTTTGAGGAAGGTACTAAGAGAAGGCAAAGAATTTCACTAGTTTTATACGCCCAAGCACAAATGAGGCTTCATCAAAAGATAGGAGCTAACTCTTCTCACTGGGTCAGAACTCAAATTACAACATATTCCAGTGTTCCTTCCAGCTTGTAAAAACCTTCTGGTTTAAAGTGTCATGGTACCAACCTGAGCTTTAAAACTACTAACTGGAAGGAGCAGCCAGTGCATTATTTATTTGGCTTATTTACAATCACAGTACAAAGAATTAATGAGAAAGTTTTACAGCACAGTTTTCCCAGTTCTCTTGAAGTTTCTTTTGCCACTTCTCTGTGTCAGTTACTAGTTTCCTTTTTTTCAACGTATGTTCTTCTCCTCTGAAAAACAGCTCTTCTTCTGAAGGCCCTGCTCAGAAAAAAAAAGATTTACAATAATGGATGTGATATAGAACTGGCATTTAGCTACTTGCTGAAAGATTATATATATGGCTGGGATGATATCTGAAATGAGGGAATATATATAGTATTAAAGGTGCGTAGGTTTCCAGGCTTCAATGAAGTAAATTATTGTGAAGATGTTCTACCATTTCTGGGCCCATTATTCAGCAAGCAATTTAAGGTCATGATGATTTGGTACATGGTTAGTAAGTGACATTTCTTCTACAGCTCAGAAAAAAAGGTTTTTTTCCTAAACTGGTTGCGCACAAGCATCTGAGTTCTAAAATACTGTTTCTATATATTCTATCATATTTTTAAGTAAGATTATATAACAGAGATGCACTTATACTTCAACTGTCCTGAGCAAGAGATACGTTTCTAACTTGCCAGTCACTGACAACAGCTGCAACTTGGCCCAATATCCTCATCTAAAACTCATTTGTATTAAGAACAACACATGCTGAAGACTTCAAGTCAGTGGGTCTACTGAAATGCTTACAGCTATGAACATCTTTACATTTCTAACGAAAGAAAGGACAGCGTGGCAGTGGCTAATGTGCAAACACCAGATTTTAAAATCCATCTTTCATTCCTCTTTCTTGAGCACACCTTCAGATTGTAATTGGGCCAATTAGGCCTTAGAGTAAAGTATATGTCACTGTTAGCAGGACTGGACTTCACTCTTGGTTTCTTGTTTGGTATATGCCTTTAGCATTTTGAACAGTATTTAAATGTTAATGAACTTTTGGGAGAGGTGGTAAACACCAGAATACTTAATTTTTTAAATTCTGGCTTTTGTTTCCTGTTTTCAGAGTTACAAAGAGTATTTTCATAGTAATTTTAAAAAAGTAAGGATGTACAATATGGAGTGAAATCCTGTCCCTTTTTAAAACAGTGCTGAGCTCCATGGTTTCATCTATAACATTTACCAGCACACTTTCAGAATAAATAGAGATGAGGCATAAACATAAATATGTCTTTTTGTTCCTTACCTTTTCTCACTCGGGGACAGTGAAGCTGATTTCCTTGAACATCATGTTCCTCTATGTCATGCCAGCTCAGATACTTGAAGGAATCAGAAGGAAGCTTAAAAAAAGCACACACACACACACAAAATAAAAACAAAGAAATAAAAGAGTCAGTTAAGGGTTTTTTTTTATTTTTTTCGCATTATATTTTCTTATATTTGTGGCCTTGTTACAGTATCAACAATATTCATACATGTTTACACTGTCTTCTACCTTAATGGTGAACAGCAAAATGATATATGGAAGTGACTACAACAGCATGCATTTGTACATGCATATGCATGTAAACACATCTATGGATCATCTTACATACAAAATATCCTGCATGCAAATGAGACATTAAATCTATACAGAGAAAACGTGCCAGTCAAGAACATGAGGTTTCTGCCCATTTTGCCTTTCCACTAAAACATGTTCTGTAATTTCCAGGGCATTTTCCCCTCAAGTTACAGCTGAGCAATGTACATATCCAGAAGCTGGTAGATGCTGTAGAGATTCAGCCAAAGCTGACACCATAGCATCTAATCTTATTTGTAATCTGATCTAGTTTTGGAAGATAAAAGGTCTCCTTGCATTAACATAATAAACTTCAAAGCTGAGGAAGAGATTTCAGCCTTAATTACCCTTTGTCAGTCTCTCATCTATAAACTTGTCATCAGACCGGTACACCAAACACTTACTGGGGAAGGCAGCCCGGAGTCCCAGTTCTGCCTGATGAATCCTCTGCTTGGTGATAAAACCGGTGGAATAATATCTGTATCACTCAGGATGGAGCAGCAGGCTGAATAGGATTTACAGAATTTCTGATTGCTTGTAGTCAGACCTGAGGAACTAGAGAGGAGTTGTTAAACCAGTAATTGATTCTGTTCAAAGAAATGCAAAATATTTTATAATACTAGAAAATACAGAGTAGCAAGGGTAGGACACATCACCAGATGAGAGCCTCACAATCCTGTCAAACCATAGTTACAGCACTCCCCTGCAGTGCCTTAGTGGGACCTCTCATGTAAATACCATTTCATACATACAGGAGGCTTTCATGGATATGTCCAAACATTAGGCAGAGGAACTTACTGGAGGTTTGTCAGAAAAACAGCCTGGGAGATAATGAAGAACTGAACCTGTTCAGTAACATGGTACGTCCCCTTCTCTCCTGAATAGCCCTGTCATATATCCAGGTTGTATGAAAAGATAACTCAGCTGCACAGTTATTTTAATCCCTTAAGTATGTTTCAGTGGAGTATCAAAGTTCCTAAGAGGAGCTGAACTTTGTTTAATAGAGTCTTGAAGTCATGTGCTTGTGAGCTTTGCCAGCTCATTGCCCAAGAACACTTTCAAAAGTACATTTTATATACCCCAAATGGTGTAATTTCTCCAATTGTGCTTCACAGATATTGAATAATTTGCAGACTGGCAGATACAATTTAGAAATTTACCACGGAATACTTCAGAAAAATAATTTTAACTTAGTAAGTGTGTGCATACAGCACTATAATTTGACTTTCACTGTACCAGCTCAGTGAGAGCTTGCCAGAAAGTATCAGCTGTCAGAAAGCATCATTAAAACAATTATAGTCAGGAGCAGAAATGGAGAATAAAAATGCTGTTTTAAAATGGTCTAGTGAGGATGGTAATGAAAGTTTCATATTTAGTGTTAAAGACAAGCTAGATAGCATATCGGTTAAAATTTAGGATTACAGACTTATTGGAAAATAATCATGAAGAGACGTACTCTGTTGACCTTCTAAGATTGTTATGCCTCTTCAAACATTATCAAAACCAAATATTACTTCTAGCCTGGAAGTGCCTACCGGCTGTAGAGGAAAGTACTGACATATGGAATTACTCCTCCCTTCCTGTTTTACGATTTTTATTTTTTTTTAATGCAATCAAAGCTGTCACAATAAACCATAGGTGACTTAAAAGCTGAGTATGCTCAGCATTTCTGAAAATAACGGTTATTTACTTAGGCATTTTTAGAGGCTGTCTTGAGGCAAACAGACCATTTTCAGATGTGTGTGCTGCTACAAGTCAGCAGGCATTCACACACACAGCAACTCTGTGAAAAGAAGATTTAGCTTTGGTCAATGTGAAAAAATAAAAGAAAAGAGACAAAAAGTGCCGGGAACTCTTGCCTAGAATTGTCCTGGTATTTACTTTGCTTCCTTATGCATTAAATGAGGTCATATCGGAAAAAAAGATATAAAAATGCTTTTATATTCAAGGAAAAGATCTGTTATTCTTCTAAGTTATGGAAAAAATTATTAAGACGTATTCAAATAACTGTTTATAATTGTGAGACTTTTCAAAACCTTCCTCTCACCTAGAAAATGCCTCCTCTGCTGAGACATGAATATACGCTGCCAGTCCCTTGAAATGTGGGCTAAAACATTTTAGCTGGATGATTTCTATTCTGATATTTTGGCAGAAACCCACTCGCTAAATTCTGTACCAGTGATAGAAAATAAAACATAAAATTCCAGAATCAATATGTGATAGATAACACTTCTCAAGTCAGGTGGGTAGTGAGATTTCTATTGGAAAGAGTGACAGAAGGAAGCGTTTTTCATCTCCAAACTGCCTGAGTTTAATAAGCACCAGCTGGACCCTAACAATGTGTCACAGGATTTTGCAGAAGGAGCGAGTGCAACACCACTTTTCTCTCTCTTGCTTTGTTTTCCTGATCATTTTGCTGTAAAATTGACATAAAAGAAATTGCAATGAATGAGGCAGGATGCAATTCCAAACAATTACAGATCACACAATACATGAAAGTAACAAAATTTTCTGCCTTGATTGTGAGGCCCTTCGGCTGGATATGAATCTCCAATGACACCTCTGGGAGCAGCACACTAGATTATGTCAAGCATTAGGGAAAAAAATTAGATTCATGATGTCTGTCCAGGCTGACTCATTTCCTCTCACTTTGCCTGCAGTGAGAAATTGGTGGCTATCATAAATCATAGATCTAAATTCTTATGAGAGAGGAATTAATTTCAGTAATGGAAACCCTCTGTGGCAATAACCTTTCTCCATTCCTCTCTCTTCTTGGGGTTTGGGGTAGGGGGGTCAGCATCTATGATGTCTTTTAAGCAGAGATACTTAGCTATATTGTAAGAATCCTATAAAATGGGATTGGAAATGAAACATAAATTAGTAAGGGGGGAAAAACCTTGTATGTGACCAGCTTCTAATTCCTGAGGCTGCTGGTGTCATCAGTATGGTTTGGCCACTGATATCCAATCCTGCACACAGAATTTCAGAATAATCAAGTAAACATTAAACATCTAAAACCTTGACCTGGATGAAATATGATTATTCTCACCTAGCTGGAGTTGCCAGCCTGCAAATTGTCTTGACTCTACAGTTAGTGGAGGCAAGTGGGTATGTCCAGATATTTTCAGCTGGAGTCTGCTCTGCCTACACGAGGACTATCATAAGGAGGACTATCGTGACATAAGTCATGACTACCTCTGTGTTCTTTATACTTCATTGGTGGAAGTCAGAGTGGAGAATGCAGTGACTGAAATACTTTGTGAACTGCGCAGAATGAGTAGAGAACGGCTACTGCTTTTTTCAAAACATGATTTATGAGATATCACGCTATACTTTCAAACATCGTGCACTCCTATAGGCTTAACTAATAAAAGTCACAGATATCAAGATGTTAGTGTCAGTCCTGCCAGTGAACTGGGTCTGCCTCTCCTCCCACTGAAATCTTAGCAAAATTTTCATAGGCAATAAAATATTGGGAATGTTCTCACTGCGATGGAAGTACATTTGAGTCCAGCTGACTTTAAGGGTAGAATACATTAAAAGCCCATGAAACGCTTTGATGAGCTATAGATGTGCTGCTTCTGAAGCTATGCCAGTGAAAGATATTCTGAGTGAAAAATATCCCTCCTGTGTATTATTTTAGGCATTTGGCCTTTAAGAAAAGGCTGTCAGTCAAAAGACTTTTCTCCTGACACAACTGGCAGCCTTGATACGGAAACATTTTAGACGCTGGAGCACATGTTCAGCTTTGCCTCGTGAAAAACAGCAAATGGCAAGCTCGGCAGATGAGCAGTCGAGACAAGGCAGGCTATAAGCGAACACTTGCAATTGGGATTTGGAAGGCTTTTGTCCCGGTGTTTTGAGCAGTTGTGGGGTCTGGCCTAGCCTCCAGGAGCGTTAATCCCAGCTGCTTCCCAGAACTAAGCGGCTCCGGGCAGGCCTAGCTTTCACTGAACCCTGCCTACTTGCCATTTAAACCTGAAATGCCCTTGCTCCAAGAAGCAGGGCTGCTTATTCTATCTCGTAGGGACATCCAGAGTGGGAATTGTTCCGGTGACTGCTATGGCTTAACCTCCAGAGAGCAGCAGGATGGAAGGCGTTGGGCTCCTGTGCAGCTGACCCCAGTGAAGCCTTCTCAGGCTGCTACTTAACAGCAAAGTGCTTCGAGACCTTTTAGTCCTACAACTATACAAGTGAAAAACACGGATCACTCTAAAGGATTAAAATCTGCCGAATTTTAAGATCATCTTTAAGAAAAATAAAATTAAAAAGGGTGATAAACTCTCCCAAAGTGAACAGTTCTTATACCCAGGTAAGAGCCACCGACTTCGCATAAGCTCTGACAGAGCTGGTTATGGATCTGTGCAAACCACTCGCGCAAATAGCTAGCTGTGTGTCTGCATGATGCAGACACCCAGTTATTTGTGTTGTCTCAGCCAATTGCACATGCCAAAGCTGATCAACAGAAATGAACTGCAGGGTTAACTTACAAATGCAATTTGTAAAGGTATTTAAAAGCCAGGAAACTCAGACTTCAGGCTGTGCTTTGTTCAAAATGCACACAATTTACTGCGATGTAGCAGGTGTTGCTTGTTTGCAAAGGTTTATTATGAGAACCCTCTGAACTTAGAAGAGAAGAGGACTTGGACATAGTGTTTTCATGCTCTATTGCCCTTCAATTACTTTTATAGGGGTTTTATGAGACATTATCTCGCATTCTGAAGCAGTTCATCTGAGCATAATTTAGTGACAAACACACCTGTAAGTTACGGATCCAATGCATCCTTGCTGCTAACTCAATCATCAATTATCTTGCTTTACGCATCATGAAGTTGCCCCCCCAAAAGACATAATTAACATAATTAGTTCTTATCGACACAATTATACATTCCTAGTATATTAACTAGTATTCCGTGCAGCTCTTCATGGATCTAACTTGCCAAAATACAAATTCCACACCTCAATGTGCCTGTTGCACATTTTAATAATAAATCGTACACCTTTGTTGAGACACCTTCTGTCTTTCAGTAATCAGCCCATGACACCAAGAAAAAACAAAACAAAACCATTTTTTCCTGTTTTCACTGCACAACAATCTCCATCAGCAACGCAGGTTGGCACACTTAAAAAAGACACTCGATCCTGTAACACTATCTTTGTTGTCAAAGCATGTTGAGCCGGCAGTGCAATGACTGCAGGTACTTCTCTCCTTTCACCCTCCTACCTTTCAGACATGTCTTGCTGCTGCATGAAATCCTCACATCGTGCAGAAGGCCATTTGTCTACAGCCCACGCTTATCTTCCCATCTCTTCCCCTGTACAGAGAGGTGGTTCGACATCCTTGGAAGAGAGGTGACTCGTCAGGATCCTGGCCAGGGCCTGTAGGGATTCAGAGTCTCCAGGACAACCCTGTCAGCTCGCAATGCGGCGGTGTTAGGAGCGATTGTCACCGATCCCGTAAGCACATCAAGCAAATCCCTCTGCTGGTGTAGCTGGTATCAGTGAGCTGCCCGTCCTTCCCTGAGGTGGCTGCAGGTAGGTGGGTGATA